AGAGGAGGAGGAGAAGAAGGGTTGGTCGCACTCGGTGTCGAGAGAGATTCTGCTGGTTGCAGCGTCGCAATTCAGCTATTGCTGATATTCAATCGGAGCCCCTTCTTGCTCAACGGCATTTTGGGAAAACTTGCTGACGTGGGAGATACGCTGTGATAGGGGGGTCGTACTCACCCCACCTTTTCACGCCTTCACGATTCTGTACTTTGGTAGAGATTGGTTAAAGGTGCGGTTTGCGATCAGGTGTAGGTGTTGAAAATATGGACGTCAGGAAGGTATTGTTGTCCGCGAAGAACAACCTTGTACCGGTTTCGCGGCAAAGTTGTAAGGGAGGGGCGCTATAGTGCAATATAGGTTCAGTGACGCCTCCTTTTTCCAGTGACTCCGCCTCCAGACTCCGCCTTCAAGGCCTTTCAGTGAAAAACGAAGCTGCAGGACGAAAAAGCATGAAAATCGTCACTTGTACGGTCGTAGAGTTCTTATCGGAGAATCAGCTGTGCGGATGGGGGCGTAGTGTTGGAGATGGAGTTAATTGGGCACGTACAAACTGGGATCGAAATGGGGTTCTATCTAGGGCAGGTGGCATGTTTTTTTGTGCTTTTTTTTTCTTGACTATCGAGTCACTCCGAACCTTTTCGTCTATCTGCAAACCCCTAATCCATTATCTGTAATTGGCGAATGATCTGGCTTTAACCTCGTAAAGATATTTATTGCAAGTTAAACTTGCTTAGGGAAACTCCCAAAACATTCAACGGTTTTCTGTGTTTTTTTTTGCTTTTGGTAAACAACAATATTTCAGACAGTCCAATCGACATTGCTCTGCGATCACCTGCCTACGATTCGTCTTTTCTTAGCGCTACACTAGCTGATGGAAAAGCGCACCCAGTTGTCGATGTGCACATCGTGCAAAACGAAAATGAGTGAGTTGACATTCTTCAAAAAATAGATCGTCGCAAAGTTGGCCTTGATTTCCGAGGAGCGATGGTCTCCCACGATGGAACCTTACCATCTAGCCATTAGACAGTTGTGACCACCGCAAGCATCCGGTGGCTTCCAAAAAAAGGGGAGTGGGGAGGGTCGGTGCTACGCGCAACTATTTTTCGCTGCAACTTTCCTGAATCAGGTTAATCATTCTGACTTAGCTCCACTCGAAATGCTGTGCCTTGTGGGCCAAGAATTCCTCTATTTTTGGGCTTCTTGTGCAGCTCCCTCGAGGCAAGGCACTATCCGCCATTGCAAGTCGAAGGTGGTAGGGTCCAAAGTCAGAAGTGCAGTTGCTAGATGACTTACTGCGTGGACAGAGCGACTACAAACGTTTACGGTTCAGCTATTCGTCACAAGTGGCATCACTTGATCAGTCTGGCACGGTGAGCCTGTGGATGGTGCTCAGGGACTCACAAGGGAGACCTGGTGTCAGACCTCAAGCTCAACTCGCTCTACAGCTTCTCGCTCTAATTCGACCAGAACCAATGGTCTTGAGGTAGCCCACTTTTCAACACCTATTTCGTCCCTTGTTTTTCGAATGTTTTCCTTGCAGATCTGCAGCTCAACCAACACCGCTCATTGCTAATTGTATGATGGTTCATCCAGCTCAACAGCTGTTCCTTGTAGGTATGTTCAAACTGTCTGCTCCTTCTGATCTTATACGGATAAGACTAAACGCCTTGTCAATTGCCAAGGATCCTGGTCAAGCATTCCGTTTATTCTTTGCGGCAGCGTTCACCAGCGTCCATCAGCGACCACTAGCGCGAGCGTTCAGCAGCGTAGGCGACTAGGAAAGCATAGATATCGATCTAGTGTCTGCCAGCTTCTACCAGCGTCCACCACCGACCGGCAGTGCCTAGGTGTGGATAGTATGGGGAAGTAGGATGGAAGCAAACAGCTGGATCGGGCGTCGTGAAATTGCGGCGTGTGCAACCGCACCGCACAACTGCTAAAGCACAGAATTATGCAGTTTAATGTAGTACAGTTATGGTGCGGTTGCATGCGTCACAATTTCACGACGCCTAATCCAGCTGTTTGCTACCCTCCTACTTCCCATACTCTCTACTCCCGGTCGCTGGTGGCGCTGGCAGACGCTGGCAGACGCTAGATCGATACCTATACTTCCCTAGCCCTCGAGACGCTGGCAGACGCTAGATCGATATCTACTTTCCTAGTCGCTGACGCTGCCGGACGCTCGGAACGCTAGTGGTCGCTGGTGGACGCTGGTAGACGCTGGTGGACGCTGCCACGAAGTATGAACGCTGCTTGAAGCACGGGGCCGTTCAACGATAGCTTCACGCATTGGGCAAACCACAGAATTCACCGAAATTTCGATGTGTTTTAGGTACTGATACTGGTTTTCTATGTAGCCTGTCAAAAGCAAAAACGGATTCCACGAAAGGGCCACGTCTTATGAATAGCAAAATGCGTAAGATCTTCGGTGGCTTCCCTTCGTTAACGAAAAGCTGTCATGTCAAGACTGTCGTGTTTCAGATGCCTATAGCGAAGTTCTATGTGTAAAAATGTCGCCTTTCGAGAGTTCTATTTTTATTGTAGGTTTTGATTTCTTATTTACTAGTATAACTTGTTCTTCCTTACTAATTACTTGATCTCTAGCAATCTAGGTTTGATGTATTATCTTTATTTCTGGACGGTCATGGTGTTATGGCAACTAAAGTTCTGGGGGGGGGGTCTGTTTGTCTGGGTGTTAAAGACCCCCGAAAACGACGCGTGAAATTAAATGTGCCGGGCCGTGAATGCGCACAACGGGGCGTATCCCAGGACTTCATCGCGACTTCGGTCTTGGCGTGCGGGATACGGTATCCTGGTCGCACGCGAGAGCACCTCTTGGAGCCAGGCGGGTCACCCCAGAGCTTTTTCCTTTCGTGCGATTCATCCAGAACTCGTCCTGGACTTTATAAACACTGATTTGTACGTCCATGGGTCCCACAAGCCACTGCACAGGCCACATCACATTCAACATGACTCTGAAGTCTCAATGAAAGGGCAACCTTGTTCGCTGCCGATGAAGGAGCTTGTCAAGCTACACGGTTGGTACGTCGCCAAACTCGTCCTCTGCCAGTTGCTGAAGCGGGCAGGCGGCAACAGTAGGTAGAAAACGCACTATTTACACTTCAGTGCCCCAACCATCCTGAATTGAGCCAGTCTTTGACCTGACTTTTTTCTCCGTAGACAGATTCGGCTCAAATATTGTCTGCTGAGGTAGTTTGATCTCCTAAATACAAATATCAAATTCGCTCAGTCTGGAACTCCGCCAGTGATTTGGGGTAATTGGCGCCAGCGCCTGTAGCGCGGGCGCCAGGAGGTTTTGGGCCAAGCGGATGTGATATTCGTGTTCAGGAGGTCAGGCTACCCTTGGGAACAAATTTTGAGCCGATTATGCCTACGCAGAAAAAAGTCGGTCAGAAACCGGCATGTTTTTGGAAGACTGGGGCAGTAAAGGGTAAATAGTGCCAAAGCGACTGATACGAAAGCTGTACAGTTTTGTTGCGTGCTTGTTTCAACAACTAGCGGATGGCGCCGCGTCAAACCCGTCCCGCCTGACACGCCTCTTCGTCTGCAGCGAACAACACTGGAATTCTGAGCGCTTCCGAGAAAAAGGCTTGATCAACGTGTAAGGCTGCGTTTATACTTTGCGGCAGCGTAGCGTAGCGTAGCGCAGCGTAGCGTAGCGCTTCCAGCGTACGCCAGCGGCAGTGCCGAAGAGAGGATGCATATCGATCTAGCTTCACCAGCGTTTCTCCAGCGTTTCACCAGCGTTTTGCTAGCGTTTGCAGCGGCAGGGGAGTAGAGACTATGGGAGAGCTGGAGGGTACAAAACACATCGATTGCGCGTCTCTCACTCGCCCTTAGTCTCTACAATGCACATCGCTTCTGCGTCTTCGACGGGCACATAGTCTCTACAATGCACATCGCTTCTGCGTCTCCGACGGCCACATAGTCTCTACAATGCACATCGCTTCTGCGTCTCCGACGGCCACATAGTCTCTACAATGCACATCGCTTCTGCGTCTCCGACGGCCACATAGTCTCTACAATGCACATCGCTTCTGCGTCTCCGACGGCCACATAGTCTCTACAATGCACATCGCTTCTGCGTCTCCGACGGCCACATAGTCTCTACAATGCACATCGCTTCTGCGTCTCTCACGGCCACATAGTCTCTACTCCCTGCCGCTGCAAGCGCTAGCAAAACGCTGGTGCCGCTGGAGAAACGCTCGAGAAACGCTGGTGAAGCTAGATCGATAGCTATGCTTCCCGTGCCCTCGCTACGCCAGCGTGCGCTAGCGTGCCGCTGGCGCACGCTAGCGTACGCCAGCGTGCCGCTGGTGACGCTGGTGAAGCTAGATCGATATGCATCCTCTCTTCGGCACTGCCGCTGGCGTACGCTGGAAGCGCTACGCTACGCTGCCGCAAAGTATAAACGCAGCCTAACTTTTTTCATTGAGCATGATATATCACTCATGTATGTTAGCAAATATGGAAGGAGCAGCGACTGAGAAAGTTGTTTTACTGTGAGCTCTAGAGCGATTATTGGGAGCGAATGTCACTCCAAGTAGGAGTGATTGCGTCCCGCCGGAACGGTCACCTCTCTTGGATATCCACAAAAGGACAGAAACGTGCCATGAAAATTGGTTGATCCTCGAAGTTCACCATTTTTAAGGAGTATCTATCGAATTTATCACTCATTTTTAATAAAAGTCAGATGCACGGCGCACCCCTTCTTCTTTTTATTATCCACAGTAGATTCTATATGATTGAGTTGTGCACTTTCAGGTGGGTTTTTCATCGGGTTCTATAGCAGTGTATCGTTTTGGTCAAATCCATCCCATAGTCGTTCTCACGCCTCCGTCGAGCTCAAGAAAGCCTGTCACCTCTATTGAATGGTCACCAATGTAAGCTGCTTCTCATGTTCTTGCCTAATGAATATGCCATTAACTCGAAACTATTGGGTTCAGCTATTCAAGTGTATTCTACTCCATCCACGGAAATCGTCGATTACTTGTGTGGGATCTTTCCATGGGACCATCTCCACAGGCCGTCAACGATCTCTCACAGCAGGTAGGCACAGTAAAACTCGCTGGCAGGCCTAATTCCACTGGCACGCAATCGCCTGCCCTAGCACGACTGAGGATTTCCAAGGCTAGCTGGATGCAGAGAAAATCCTCCATGGTCGCAGTATGGCAGTAGGACAAAGTCGGCTGCTCCCATTCTTCACATCCATGAGAATTCAAAAAATCATATTCTATTCAAACAAAACACCCATCTGAGCGCCTCACCCATTCGCCCTTCACCTTCGTCGCACCCATTGCCGCGCGCGACGAAGCGGCGATCTCTCGCTCGTCTCCTCCAGTCGAGCGACCCGTTCGCGCGATCGCGAAGTCTGAACGCAATCTAATTGAATTTTCCAATTAGTAATCTAGATAATACTAGCGCTTCCTCCCGCAATGAATTACCTCCGTTAGACACGATGTGTGGAGCGAATTAAACTCAGAGAAGTGATGTTATAATAGGCCATGGTATTATTACAAGCTCAGTTGTACTCTTAAAGGCACGGCCCGCGATCGTTGACATCTTTCTCTCCCTTCGTGAGCAGGTAGACGGACCGCAGAGGCAGCGATTGCACCATTTTCGCGGCGCAAAAACGAGCGAGGAGGACAATCATGCAGTTGTTCCCCTCATTGGCCCGACTGATTAACATTGACCCCATCCGCCACCCTTTCCAGCTATAATTAAGAGAAGACCTGCCAAAGAACATCTGCAGGGGCATTATTGGCATTAGAAAATCAGCTGTGATCAATGAGGGCGACCCCATCGACCAAAACATAGCTCGCTTCGTGATTTCGTCCGATCACTTTCTTTGCTCTGCACGCACAAATGCGCTCGCTGGGGGGGGGGTAGCTGAGGGGGAGTCTTGTTGAGAGCATTTGCGACCATTAGTTCGGTTTTTTTTCTTGAACACTGGCTTTGTTGGCATCTTGGCATCGCTATTTGAGCGCCACCACCCACAATATCTGATCGCGGGCTTTGCCTTCAAAGCGGATCTCCCTAAAGGTACCTCACAAAA